TTTACAGAACAACAGTAAAATTACAATACTAACATTTATGAATGTTGATGGAGTTCTTGCTTTTTCTCAACTTTTATTTTGGCGGAAACCCGCAGGAAGACCTCAGCACTTCTTTTTGTTGACAACAGCAGATTTATAAATGAGTCTCATTTAGGGCTGTCACGATTATGAAATTTGGCTGACGATTAATTGTCACAGTAAAAATAGTCACGGTTATTGCGATTAATTGTCTGTTTTAGGGCTTTGGCGATTATGCCGATTATATTGTCTGTTTTTATGGCTTTCATTATATAATTGTGATTAATTTAAGGGATCAGTAAATAATTATGATGTTATCTTTTAATCTTTTTGAGTTATTATTTTGCAGTGTAAGATTAGTATTCCAAATTCTAAGAATCGGTCAATACCGATCTAACACCAGCGCTATTTGTTTTCTACACCACTACAGAATATCAATACTGTGTTTGTGGAACTAATGGTCACTCTTTTAAACCCTTTGTTAAACGCAATCCACTAAATACTCACTTCCTCATTACAGAGAAAAAAAAGTTCATCAGCATGCATTGAATAATCCCATATGTTGTAGCGCAAAAATAAATAAATAATATATTGCGACCAAATCATGTGCTCGTGCGACCAGCTGAGAAAGTTAGTTGCAAAAGAGCGACCAGTGGGAAGAATGAGTCTGGAGCCCTGTATATGCTATACAGTGCATGAAAAGCAAACTGGTGCTCTTCTGTTTCGTTTGGTGTATGACTCCCCCTTGTCTCGTATAAAAAGCACAATAATCGCTATTAGATAAAATAATCGCGATTCGACGGTTATTTAATTATCGCGACAGGTCTAGTCTCATTACGAATACGTTGCACGTATCGCATTGTCATGTGCCTTGTAAAAAAATCATAAAAATGTGACCTTGCAACTGACGAGTACCACTGTTTCAGCGCAGATTTTCCTCGCGCTTTGGACTTTGAACGCTGGTTAACAAGCAGATCCGCCGTGAGCTCATGCAGTGCTGTCAGAATACATGCAATTCGTGCGTGTATTAGAAAACATAACGTTCTGCAGTTTAT